TTTTTTTTTTTTTTTACTTTTTAATTTAAATCCAACTAGTGAGAACCCGTTAAATGTAAAATATTTTTATAAAACTTTATTTAAATAATGTATTAGTCGTTTACATATTTTGGTTCATCATAATATTCAAATATTATTTTATACAAAAATTATTTTCGTATAATGTCAATATTATTTATAACATTTATAGAAGTTATATTTCTTTTTTATATAATGATGAATATTTAATGTATATATATTAATATTATTTACTGATGTGATTAATTTATAAATATATAAGTAAATCTAATGTTTGTTAGGAATGTGATAGATCTCGATATTTTATGTACAAATATATTATATACGTACAAATATATAATATGAATATCTTGATATACAAAAGAAATTTTTATGTGATCATTAATTAATTAGCCACAACTACCTAAACTCATAAATGGTAATCGAATTTCTATATGTTTTATAATGTTAGAAAACCTAAATTACTGTCTCAATATAAAAAAATCATGACATAAATTACCAAATAAAAAAAAGGGCTCTTAAATTGCAATTGAAATAAATGAAGTGTTATGTTTTGCAAATGTTTTTTTTTTTTTCTTCTCAACATAAAGGGAGGTATACAAGTGACATTTGAGACTTTTTAATATTTATGATTTTTTAAGAGTTTTATATTCTAGAAAAATTTTGTGAATTTTTAAAAACTTAAAGATGAGATTTGATGTGATATTTCATATAAGGTTTTTGTTTATTAATCTCACCAGATCTCAAAAAGTTTTAACAAGTCATAATTTCAAATATGTTAAATATTTCATAATTTTGTAATACTTTTTAAAATCTCAATTAAATACTTTTAAAAATTTTAAAAAGTGTTAACAAATTCAAATCGAATATACTAAAGATTTATGACGTCTTTAAAAATCTCAAACTGAATACACCCAAGTTCATTTTTTGGGCTGGGTCAACACATCTGCTGAAGCCCAACAATGCTTCAGTAAGCAAGCATCATAACAGGCCTGTGTACCACTAAAACGAAAAATATTTTCTGAAGCCCAATAATGTTTTAGCAAGCCCACATCATAATATGCGAAGCCCATTATTCTCCCCCATTTCATTTCTCAGGATCTGATAAGAATCTCGTCTCTCCTCTCTGTATCTCTCCCCCATCACGAAGCTCGCTAGGGCTTTTTCGATTCTTCCCTTTCTCACACACACTCGGCTCTCTATAAATTTCCCCACACTCTCTCGATTCAAATTCATTCGACCCCTTAAGGTTTTGTCTCACAAGTAGCCGCGAGCAGGATAGTTCGATCGGCGATCGCGATGCCGCGGCGGGGGGACGAGTACGAGGACGACGACGACCAGGAGCCGGAAGAGGAGGAGGAGGAGGAGTACGCCTTGGACGAGGAGGACGAGGAGGAGGAATATGAGGACGACGGCGGGAAGACGAAGCGCAAGAGGGGCGGCGGGTCGCAGTACATAGATTCGTACGCGGAGGAGGACGAGGATGAGGATGAGGAAGAAGAGTACGGTGGGGGCCGCCGTGGACGAGGAG